CAAGGAGGTCCGGCTGGGGAGGATGGCGGGGCCCTTTGACCCCCCCCTTTTCCAACTTGCGCGTTTCCTCATTGGGACTGGTTCCCAAGAAGGAAGCAGGGTCCTTCCGGTTGATTCCTCACCTTTCCTACCCGACCGGGGGATCGGTGAATGATGACATTGGGAGGGAGGTCTGCCAGGTGAGAAACGCTTCCTTTGATAGGGCGTTGGAATTGGTGCGGGTAGTGGGGGCCGGGACGCTGTTAGCTAAGTCGGATATAGAGTCAGTCTTTCACTTGCTGCCGGTTCACCAGGAGTGCTTTCACCTGTTGGGTTGTCACTTTCGTGGGCTGTTTTACAACGATATGTGTCTGCCCATGGGGTGTGCAATTTTGAGAAATTTTCCCTCTTCCTAGAGAGAGTAACGGTTTAGTGGTAAGGTTGGCATTCAGTTACGCACTACTTGGATGATTTTTTGTTTGTTGGGCCGGCCAACTCGCGGGAGAGTGTTGAGTTGTTGGGTTCATTTTGGGCGGTCGCATGGGAGTTCGGGGTCCTGGTGTCAGAACAGAAGATGGTAGAGCCAGTTTCCACGTTGTGGTTTCTGGGGATCGAGATCGATATGGTGCACATGGTTTTTCGGCTGCCGCATGACAAATAGGTAGTTCTCCTGGAATTGGTGAACCAGGGGAAGGGTATGAGGAAGGTCCAATAACGTCGGATGCAGGTACTGTTGGGGCACTTAGCATTTGCGTGCCGAGTCCTTTCAATGGGTTGGGCGTTTTATCGTCGTTAGAGACGGTGGGCATTCGGGAACCGCATCACTTCATCCGGGTCAACAAGCGACTCAGGGAGGAACTGCAGGTATGGAGTCCTAGGGACCTACAATGGGCATTTGTGTTGGCTGAGGGCAGCCACGTCCAATGGGGCACTGGATGTTTTTACGGATGCTTCGGGCTCCATCAGCTTCGGATTGTTTTTTGGGGGTCACTGGTGCACGGAGGCTTGGCCATCGGTTTGGAAGGATTTGGATTTGATTCGCAACCTTATCTTTTTTGAGCTTTTTTCAATCGTGGTGTCCTTAGCGCCGTGGGGTAATGACTTGAGGGGCGCGTGGTTTTTCACACAGACAATATGAGCGTGGCCCATGTGATAAATCGATCATCATCGGCCTCACATGTTGTCGTTGCTTCAGCGCTTGGTGTTGCTGAGCCTGCAGTATAATATTTGGGTGAAGGTGGTTCATGTTCCGGGTGTGCTCAAAGTGGTGGCTGACTCTCTTTCTCAGTTTCAGTGGGACCGTTTCGAGAGGCAGCACCAGAGGTGGACCGAGTGGGAGGGACTTGTCCTGCATCTTTATGGGACCTTGCTTTGGAGGCCTAAGGGATCTGGTGGCTAAGTCCTTGTCTCCATCGTCGTAGCAGACATATCAGTCGGTGTGGTCGCAGTGGCTTTCCTTTATCGACGGGGAGTGGAGGATTGCTTCGGAGTCGGGGAGGTTTGAAGTTATGTTGCTGTTCCTGTCAGCATTTCAGTCTCAGGGTAAGTCATCTGCATCAGCGGAACGAGCGATGTCGGCCTTGTCTTTTGTTTCTCTTTTTAGGGTGGAGGGATCTCACAAAAGAGTTCTAAGGAGAGTGTTGAAAAGTTGGAGACTTAGGAAAGGTAAGGATCATTGGAGACTAATTTTGGTGGACTTCTGAGGTTTTGCTGTGTCGGGTTGCATTCTCCCTTTGTTTTTTTGGAGCGTTTCGAGTGGGGGTATTGGTGGTGGCCAACTTGCGGTCGGTGGCTCCTTTGTTGCTGTCAGATGTTCAGCTGTCTGAGTCTTCATTGGATCTTCAGGTGCATTGATCAAAGACCGACCAGGTAGGTTGCAGAGCGTGTGTGTATATTGGGGCCGCCAGGGGCACCTTTTGTCTGGTTCAGTTGGTCATGGCTTATTTGAATGCAATGCTGGGGGCGTCGTCTATATTGGTACATCAGGATGGGTCACCTTTGACGCGATACCAGTTCTCCTCATTGATTCGGTTGGCGTTGCGTGCCGGCGGAGTGGACGCCCCTGGGTATTCTGCTCACTCTTTTCGGATTGGGGCCGCCACACAGGTGTCTTAGGTTATTCAGTGGCTGCACTTAAGCGTTGGGGCAGATGGAACTCGGCTGTATCTTCGGACGCACTTGTTGTAATGCTTTCCTCTCTTGTAGGTCCCCCTCATTATGTGTGCATCCTGGGCCACTCATATGTTTACTGGGCAGCTCGCAGAGCAGTGGTAAGGTCCTACGACAGGAACTTGGGCTTCCCGGATGAAGTGGCTAGGGTTCCGTGGTGGGGGATTAGGGGGCTTTCCTGGGGTCAGTTTTATGACGATTGTGTTGAACGAGGTTTGTGTCGGGGCCGGTAACGCTGGTGGTGCACATGGGTGGGAACGATTTGGGCTGGATGAGAACGGTAGATTCTGCATAGAATGGGTGGCATGGTGGTCTGTCACGTGGACCTGGAGGGCGACAATGTGGTCTTAATGAGGAGAGATGGAGTTCATCTGACAGGGATTGGTCTGGACATTTTTAACTTATGACTACAGTCTGGGTTGGAGGTGGAGCTGGCTGTGGCGGGCACGATGCCGACCAACGGGGCTAGTCTCGGTTGACATCGCGGTGGCGGTGCTCCTGGCCAGCGAAATGGAAAGTGATAAGAAATGAGTCGGCTTGGGGAATCACAGCCTGCCGAGGGCTGATGGCATTAGGCAGGTTGATACAAACTCTGGACAAGGAAGTGGTACCTGTCTGTTGGGGGAAGTTACTCAACAGCTGACAGTTGGATAGAATGCTGGTCCGTTAAAAGGTTGAAAATAATAAAGCTGTGGCCGTTGCCCTTACCCATATTTCTGGTCTCATGTGTTTTTGTTGGGGTGACTGGGGGAGAGAATTGGTCAGCAGTCAAGAAGATTGCAGTGCTTACAAAGGACAGTTTAAGTCAAGTAAAAACAACCTTCACCTGCCCTCCATGGCCACTTAAAGACGATAGCAATTGTTAAAGAAGTGGGTTTAAATAGGCGGACGTTTTACTGTTTTGAAACACTAATATTTGTGTTTAGCGAAGTCTCCAGAGTATAACAGTAACCCCCAAGTACAGGTTTTATAGTGTTTTTGAAAGTTACTGGGTCAAATATAAGGCTTATTTTCCTTCTTTTTTTTTACATTGCAATTTGCCTGGTTGGTTATGTTGCCTTTAAAAGCATATGGTAGCCCAGGAATGAGAATTACTCCCATGATGACATACCATTTGCAAAAGAAGACAACCCAAGATATCGCAAATGGGGTATGTCCAGTCTTTTTTAGTAGCCACTTAGTCACAAACACTGGCCAAAGTTAGCGTTCATAATTGTGTTTTGCATTTTTACCACACAAACAAATATAAAAGTGGCTACTAAAAAAGAATGGACATACCCCATATTGAATACCCTGGGTTGTCTCCTTTAAAAAAAAAATATGTACATGTGGGGTGTGATTCAGAGATTTATGACAGATAAGTGTTACAATGTCACTGTTGATAAATTTTAAAAATATATATTTTGAAACCGCAATTTCCTACTTGTACTTATAGCCCTATAACTTGCAAAAAAAAGCATGTAAACACAGGGTGTTTTTAAACTCAGGACAAGATTTTGAATCTATGTAGCAGTATTTTTTATTAGCTTTTGTAAATAAGTAAAAGATTTTTCAAGTAAATGCCAAAAAACATGTTTTTTTGTTAAAATAAAATTCACCATACTTTATTATTGTTTTTTTAAAGGTCCACTATAGGCACCCAGACCACTTCAGCTTAATGAAGTGGTCTGGGTGCCAGGTCCATCTAGGTTTAACCCTGCAGCTGTAAACATAGCAGTTTCAGAGAAACTGCTATTTTTACCTATGGGTTAATCCAGCCTCTAGTGGCTGTCTCATTGACAGCCGGTAGAGGCGCTTCCGCTCTTCTCACTGTGATTTTCACAGTGAGAAGACGCCAGCGTCCATAGGAAAGCATTGATAATGGTTTCCTATGGACTGGCTGAATGTGTGCGGCTCCTGCCGCGCATGCGCATTCAGCTGAT